AAGCGCATGGCAGCCGTAAAAAGCCAAGGCCCTTGCCCAATCTGGCTCAGGTCAACCAACTGGGCTACGGGGCCGGCCCCTTCTTGAGCCTCTTCCTCCTTGCCGCTTGCTGCTGTCAGGGTGTGTAAACAGATTTATAGGAATGAAGGCAGAGATGTTGGATGTTGTTCTGTGCAAGGTAGGGATGTGAGGTATTCCCAAGCTTGGGTTCCCCCACCACAGTACTGCCTCCCGCCTTAATTAAGGATATTTGAGCATGAGCCAGGTTGCTTATTAGGCTTAACTGAGGGGAACCGAGAGGGTGCAGTGGTAGGGGAAAGGTAATAATGAGGCATGAGGCATCTCCTGTATTTTCTCGTTTTTGTTTTTGCAGAAAGTATATATATATATATATAAGAGAGTAATCTAACGGACAACGAACTAGAATGAGGGATCTCCTTCATTTCCAAACTTTGATAGCTGGGTTTGAATTCATTTTCACTGAACGTGGAGTTCCCTGAGATTTTAAATGGTGTAGTTACATGTTGGTTGATTGAGTTACATTTTGGTTGCATTCAAATAGAAGCTTAATCGGTTCTCATTACGACTTAATTGATTTTGTCAAGCTTTTCGTTGCTTCTTACTTGGAATTTGTGTAGCTTTTGACTCAGTGTAAGTGGAGTTTAGTCTAAGTGGAGTTTCATGGGATGGAAAATGGATGTTACCCAGATTTCGCTTGATTTCAGGTTTTTAATAGATTAAGATTAGATGTATAATTTTTCAATGGTCGCTCAATCGATTTTAATAAGCTTTTCTTTGATTTTAAGTAGATTTTCGTCGATTGTATTTCAAGTTGAGCAAACTTCAATTCAATATTAAACGGGTGTGACTTCCGTTTTGAATGGATTTTAATTCGATATTTATTTGATTTTAGTGATGTTTGAATAGATGCGGAGTTGAACTTACACGTTTCCAGAGGGATTCCTCACTAGAAACAGTGAATTTCTCCAACTTTGCTTCAATTTTGCGCCGAAGATCCAAAGATGACTTTTTTTCTGCAGGTTTTTAATTAGGGGTGTGAGACGGTTATTCGGTGGCAAGCGATTAGGAATTCCAATTTTGACAAGTCTTCAAGCAGCCAACCCAGGCGTACTTTGGAAACGAGCCTTGGCAGCCTTTCATTACCAGCCAAGGAAGTTTCTGTTGCCGCAGTGTGTTGCATGAATCGACACACTACACATATGGCAAAGCTTTCTACCCTCCTTTTTGCAGACTCCTAAACTCCAAGCCCCCAAATCCTAGATCTTTTCTCCCTTAAAACCAGAATCGCCAATGTTAATTCTTCGCTGAAGAACCTTGGCTGGGTTGCCTTAAATCCTTTGAAGGGAAGTCACTGGTCCTCCCCTACACATTAAATCCGATCCCAAAATCTTGATGCCAACCCGTAAACCCAAAGCCCTACACAACCTTGCCTCTGGCTCCAAGAATTTCCACTTCCAGGAATGGAAGCTTTCCGTCCTCCACTTCGTCCTGGTCATCGGCTTTCTTGGCATGATCCCGGCAAATCTTTTCCTCCTCAATCTCAAGGCGGGCTCTGGGTGCATGGTCTTTGCAGGGTTTAGGATTCACAGTTTGATTTTGTAAAAGCCCATCTGAGCAGTGTTCCAAACTTCCTGAGAGGAAATAGGAAGGCAAATGGCAAAATCGAACCTGCCGTAAGAAAAGTACCTGGCGTTCGCTAGCTCTTCCCCCACTATAAGCGCTGTAAGCTGTGTTCATTAAAGAAAAGGCGCGCCGAGTTCTAACTCGGGCTTCGAAAGCTACAGACGGAAAAAGATAATGTTAACAAGCATGTATCAACGTTTCGTTCATTGCTCACCTGCAAATTGACAAAGCTCAATCTTGCGGAATGCCTGCGGGGAGGACAGAGGAGTTTATAAGGAAGATTTGGGGGCTGATGCCAGGGATGCACGGGTTTCCAAAATATTGTGGCAGCTGGCAGTGGGGCATCTGCTTCTTGAGGTACTTGATGATAAGGAATCCCCGAAAATCCGATGTGCCTATTCCGGGCTGCGACAGTCACTTGGGGCAACCACATTCGCACGATATACGCAAAACTCCTTTCAAAGGAAGGCTCGGATCTTCTATAGGGAATGAAATCACTAGAGTAGTTCGAGGGTTCCAAACACCCAGTGGCAGAGTTTTTTGTTGCTACATCTTCATTTCGAGATGAAGGTGCTTGCGGCGTGTAATGCTGGAGCATTGCCTCAGTTAGCACTTCACACTGCCAATCCCCAACCCCTAAAGCAACGCTCACACGAATTTATCAACACCCTTGGATTTAAGGATGCGCAGCACGAGGAGGAGGGGCCGGAGGCCTCCGGCGCTTTCAGTAACCTGCACCCTGCATCCATTCAGAGCTGCTGAACCACGGTTTTCAGGGCGGGTGGGACACTCACTGTGAGCACAGTAATTTTAGGCTCTGCTGGGTCAGCTTTAGATGGTTTTCGTAGCCTTTGATGACTGTTTTGATCACGAAGGCTTGTCGTTTCTACGGGAAGGTTGCATTGCTGACTTCAAGTTGTGGCTAAAGACTTGAAGGACACGATTTTGACTCAGTGAGTAGGTGGTAGCATGCTAGCATCTGCAACGAATCTAATCGCTGAAGCTGAATGCTGGTGCTGCGTTGCTTGTATACATTGCTTCGCAGTATTAGCTTCATATTGCGTGGTGTGCATTCCCACTTCGTTGACGAATGCGCCAGCCAAGGAAGTATGCACGTGTAGTTCCCTGGCTGCTCTGTGGCCTTGATGTTGTGAGCGCGATCGGCGCTGGTATGACCGTGAAGTTCTTTCCCCTCTTCTTCAAGGAGCTGCGCTAGACTTCTCGGATGTTAGCACTTTGTAGAAAAAAGAAGGTGGTGGAGGCGGTGGTTGTGGAGGTGGACTGATAGGCACCTACGCTAAACCCCACACCCTTGACCCGAAACCATTTCCCCCTGCAAGGAGGACTACGGCATGAACCCTGGACAAATCCAGTTGCTCTTTGCTGTCTATGGCCTATCCTTTGGCTTTTTTACTTGGCTGTGTGACGAGGCTCTGCTTCGGTAACGACTTTGAAAACCTGGATTCAAATAGCTGATTCAAAGTTCAAGGCACCAAGGGCTCTGCAATCTAAAGGTCAACTAGTCAGGAGACCAGCAGGCTCCCAGGATGAAAGGAGAATCGAACTTGTTCCTGCATTTCCAGTTTAGAGCGACATCTTCCGGGGCTGCAGAAGCTACGGTAGACCTCCAATCATGGAACATTGCCAAACGTAAGGTGAGAAGGCAGCCGCCAAGATGGGCCGGGTAGAGGCAGGTCTGCTCTTCGCATCTTCTGGAGTGCTCTGCCTCTTCCTTCTGGCCTGGCTCAGGCGGGGGCTTTTGTAGTTCAGTGGATTTTGGTCTTGGCGGACTCATTACGATCGTTTGGTGGTGCCGGGTTGGCGGCTTGGCATATCATGCAGGTTGGGGTGGTTCCTTGCACGTTTTCTGCTTAAGCTCGTAAATTAATTGCCATCGGCATTGCATCTTATTCCTCACTCGACGAAACACCCAAGCATCACAGGACTCTTTTTCCATAGTGATCTCAGATGACTGTCATTTCAAGAGCCTATCATGTCCAGCTTGTCAGATAGAGTTTGTAGGGTCTCTCCATGGGGTCAATTTTCAGCTCTGTGGTTCCTGTGGCCCCTGCAGCAAAGTCAGGTGGCTTCCAGCCGTCTTGGTTGTCTTTGTGCTGCGTGGATATGGTCCAGTACAAGATTTTTTTTCTTCATTTGGGCCCGCCAAATCACAACGGAGCATGCATGTATGGTAAATGTACTAAGACGGGACCTAAACTACGGCCAGCAAATCATGGCGTTCTGAATGCTCAGAACGATAATGAGAGCACTTTCAAGAACGCTTCGACCCAGTCTGACTGGTTTGAGCTGCCTCTGGCACCCCTAAGGATACGAGGTGCGTTTGCAAACTCGTGCCTTGACTGCACTTAGGTCGTTCTGCTGGAGGTCGTATTTGGAGTTTGTTGGGTTCGCTGCGAACAGGGATGTCTTCTCGGTTTCATGGCTACATTTGTGCATGTTCGTAGGTAGTGAATATCGTGATTCTGCGCAAAAGAAGTGTAGTTGCAAGCTAAGGCAGCATACTTCCAACCCTACAATAGTTTCCCACGAACCTTCAATTCGCCATTATATGATCTTTCAATCCCTTGTGGTTTTCCACCCCCCATGCTGCTGACAACAAATCAGCCTAATAGCTGGGGCCATGGGTGTATATCAGAACGGGGGGGGTGGCAGTGATTCAGAAGGATCTATCCCATTGACCGCTCGATTCTCATGGACTTCGTGCCGTCGTCCGAACGCGGCCGCTGGAACGCTGCTGAGAGCATCAGTGGCTTGGTAAACTTCCACACAAAGGGTCTGAGGGCGATCATACTGGTTACTATCGTTGCTTTCAATTGTATCGTCGCTTTTTTCATTGCTGCTTTCCCGCTACTGTACCCTACATTACTCTTATGTTTTTATTTGGTGGCATGATTGCTTTAAATGCAAAGTTTCATCTTGCTGTTGATGTAAATTGCTAGCGGTACTAGTAGTGGTTAGCATGTTGGGATTACTTGTACTCTTCTTACTGTTTTCTTTTTTTGTTTGTGTCTTTTCGCAGCTGCTTTGCCTGGTCCCAACGCAGTGTTAAGGCAGCATGTCCTGGTCGGGGTCCGCTGTGCTCGGAGGCTGGTTTTGGGGTCTTCCGAGCTCTAGCCCAACTAGTTTGAAGACAATCTGCAAAGGAGAGAGTAGCCTTGATTCACAGCCTCAACACAACATCCGGGGACTTGTGGATAAGCCGAGAGGGACTTTACAGTAATTTGCTTACAGCTGTTTGCTGGATTTTGCAGACATTCTTCGGAAGTGCCGGAAGTTCATGACTCAAGTATTTCAAGCACTGGCTTCAGGAATAGAGCGCAGGAGCTTGTGGATTTCTGATCTGAGATTAGAGAAGTAGGAATCTGAAAGAGACTGTTCTTGGACTGTCTTTTGTTCTGCATGTCTTTTAATCCTCAGCTGGCAGAACTGATCTTACGTGCATCGCAGATACGACGAGCAAAATCTAAAAAAAACATGACTGTGCTGCCAGGCTACCTCATGGACGCGTTTGACTACCGAATGACCTTCGTCATCACGGCCTGTATCTATGCCGTGTCAGCTCTTATGAGGCTGCCTCTGTTCTTCATCGTGCCTCGCTACGAGGCGTGCGTCCAGTCCCTGCATTGCAGTACACCTTGGCTTGAGGGTAATGGATTTGGGGGCTTTGACATCAAGCCAGAAGGCCCAGCGTAACAGCCATCCGCAAATAAAAGAAGGAACCAGAGCCCACAACCTGCAGCAACATCACATCCCGGCAGCACAAGCCCTAAGCCTCAACCCCGGAAAGGTGTCAGCGTCTCATCAAGCGCTGCTTACCCGCATGGTCTCTCACGAGGACGTGCAGAGCGTCCTGCTCTCGTCTGTGAGATCACGCAGTGTACAATTTGAGCTGTAAACTTTCACTGGAGAGTTTCACACAGTGGTTAATGTCGGTTTCAGGGCAGGGTCCCACCCCATGTAAGTGTTGCAGTGCAGACTTTGGTGTTCAAATGCAGGGTTGGGGCTCAACGGCAGTTGTTCTCAGTTCCAATGCCGCCAGTGATGAGGAAAAAGAGAGCGCTCCTCCCAGAACATCCGGCCACCATCCCTGCAACAGTAGGACAGGCAATGCTGTGCGACGTACAAGCTAGCATAGCCTGGGAGCTTACAACCCCATCTCTAATCGGTGGGGCATTAGGAGACGCCCTACTTTTTACTTCCACTCTAGTGGAGGCCTGTTGCGTCTCTCTGGCGAAGCCGCCTTTCGGCTTGTGTACTGTCACGGTTTTTGCGAATGTGTAGCTGACAAGTCCGGTTCCCGCCTTCTTCTGGAAAGTCATGCCTTTACACCCGAATCAGCTGTTACAACTCCAAAGGATTCTTCAGGCCTTCGATCATAATAATAAATTTCGTCGGGCATTCCTGAAGGTTAGAGCAAACACAAATCCTCAGAGCACTGAAGCTTTAAGCTTGTCGCAGTGTGTAGCCCAGGATATTGCACTGGTGTGTCCCAATAGAGCTAGTCCGCAGCTCAGTTTAGCTGAGATGTTATCTAGCTGCGCAGAAATTTTTTGGCCTGCTGCACAGAACTCACCCCAAAGACCTCCATCATGCAGTAGCTTGCAAACACAACACTACGATGTTGCGTTGCCAGACCGCCGAGACAACTGCGGAGGCCGTGTGCAAGAGTGGTGGCTCCCTTTGGTGATTGTTGATTTGGCTTTGGGGTTTGCGGATTGATGGAGGCCAACATCATGTCTTGCAATTTGGCTTCCCTTTCCCGGGATCCTTTCAGAATGGTCACATGGCTCATATATGACTTTCAGACAAGGACCACGGTGGTTCAGGGTGATTTCAGAGTTGAACCGCGGCCATGGCCACGGGTCACAGGGTTGCTCTGCTGAAGTGGGGGCCGCAAAATTTTCTGTAAAAGAAATCAGATCTGAAGATGCGACAGCATTGCCGTGAGAGGTGGAGGAAGAGGAAGGGTCCCTTCCTCGGCGTTTGACATGTGTGAAGCAATAGAATCCTCATTGTTTCTCATTGAGGTTGGTAGCTACATGCTATGTTAGGAGCCTCTGCAACAAGACATGCTCTATCGTTGGTCTGGGCTGGGACACGGGCGTCATCCTGTTCAGCGCTAAGCCCCTCGTTGCGATCTGTTCAGGCGTAAGTACTGTGCCATGAAGTGTTGTGCGGTGGCAGCAGGAAGAGCAGAGGAACACAGCACGGCACGCCCCTGGTGATGTGAAAGGCCCCTGAACTGAGGCCAGACGGACAGCCGCCAGCTCCCAAGCATTAGAAAGCCTGAGCTGGGAACCAGAGGGCCCGAAGCTGTTTGGGGAGATTTGGGGGACCTGAGGGTTGCATGGCAAGGAGGGCTCAGAGCTGTCGGCAAGGTTTGCCATGCAGACCGCAAGAATGGGATGTTTTACTAACTACACTCATGACATGAAGATAACTGCGCCTTGTTCCATCTAAACGCAGCAAGACTTCCACTATAGCAACAGCGAAACGGGTCACTTCATCATCCGCAGCGTCTCCTTCAGCAAGTTGTAGGAAGACATATGAGGGCTCGGGGATGAACATGCGAGCAGGGTTTCTTGCTGAATCTGAGCGTTCAACTCTCACGCCTCGACCCAAGCCCCAGCCTGAACGACAGCATGCTGAAATAACGACACTAGCTTTATACCGTCTACGCCCTTCAACCACTTCCCGTCCCCCCCCCCCAAACCGAAGATGCTGCAGCATCAGTTTCCGTACTTGGAGCTTCCAAGGCGGCCACTCGCCCTTCCAGCCTCCCTGGTTGACTTCTGGGCCGCTTAGGTTTGAGCAGAGCTAGTTCAGTGTTTGGTTCAATATTGCATTTCCCGGTGTATTGTGTGCACGTTTCAACTTTTGCGGTGCCCTTGCGGCCGTTTAAGCTAAAATTTATGAGATTCTTGCGTGGAGAGGCTGGCCAACTAAGAAAGATTAAATTATCATTTTTTCTTCATTTTGGCTTTCATTTTTTCTTCATTTGTTCCTTCATTTCCCTCATCATTTCCGAAAAGTTCTTCATTTTTTTTTATGGTTTCGTACGAAATCCTTCAAGTTTTTCGAAAAACCGCGAGAAATCTTGAATTTCCTAGGATTCCGTGGAAAATGATAAAAACAATGATAAAGAAAATGATAATAAAATGATAATAAAATGAAGATTTTCTGAAGCATTCCGCAAATCCAGGATTTAGCTGCTAAATTTTGGGGTTGCAGGATCAGAACGCTCACAGCGTGGTGCGATTGTAATTTGTGGAATTGTCCTCGATGCAAGAAAGGTCCAGACTTTGCGTAGCAGTTCAGTGTAGGCTAGAAGCGTTGGATGATGTGCAATGACCCGGGAATGCTCGACCTCATAAGTTATCTTGCAGCCGTCAAGAAAATACTGTTGTGACTCGTGCCTTCCTTCTTACATTTTAGGCTAGGGGTTGACAGGCTCGTGGTCTGCTCTTTGTTTGCTGACTGAATGCAGGTCTTGCCTTTGTGCCTGCAGCAATCCTCCAACATTCAACAATTCGACATAGACCAAGGCGAACCTGATATGCAGAGAAATACCGTTCATTGCCAAGGCGCTGCAGGGAAAGGATCATACAGGGATTCCAGCATAGATCTGCAGTGATTGTAGTTGTGCCAGGATCTCCTTTAGGATCAAATTGACTTACACGGAATCTTTTAGAGATTTTCCAAGTTCTGCAGCGACTGTGGGTATGTCAGCGTATGTACAGCTATGGCTATGTCTCATAAAAGGTCTTTCAGCTGCAGCTTTTAGAACATCCTATGCCAAAGATATATGGAGGTTATATTGGGATAATGGAAGCTACTGTAGTTATATTGGGGGTTTATTGGGATAATGGAAAATAAAATGGAAACTACTGTAATGTTGGGGTGGATCCCCCAATCGTGCTTCCTTCATCTCGGGATCCCTGCAAAATATGGTCCTTGATGGTACCCCGCTACGAGAAACCAACATTCAAGTTCGAAAGATCTATGAGTTTCCCTCGATAGCTCTTGAAGGAAACCGCCAGAATTCCTGAATACCCCCTCACGAAAATCTCCAGGGTTTTTCGAGGGGTGCCCCATGTGGTTTGTCAAGTCCTCGTTGTTGACTTCTGCAACCAGTCCGATGGCTTCGTGCACTTTGAGCTGCGGAGGAATAGCCAAGGTGCTCTGGGGAGGGTTCGGCTGAATTGGGTCAGGGGTCCGCCGGCAGTAGGTTGGCCCCCTTGAGGTTGTGCCTGTTGGAATCAGTTAGATAGGATTTATCAGGTCCTGGTTGCATGTGTAAAGCGATGCAGCTATGAATGGGTTCCAGGATATTGTAGGAGTTAGATTGGATTTTTCGATGCTATGGGAGGCCACCAAACGGTGTGGCCGCCGCACTGGATCATCGCCTTCCCTTCGCGTGAGAAGGGGGGCAAGATGAGGCCCATGCTGTTGATCCTTGTGGACAATCGCCCGACAAGCAGATCCACTCTTTCTCGCAAATGCAGTGATGCAGCTTTCCACTGCCTTGAATTCGGCAATCTGCACTTGGATGCTGCTCTTTGTCGTGAATGAAGGCCATGAAGGCCCATCAAGTCAGATTTTGCAAGATTACATGGTTCTTCCTTTTTTTTTTTGAGGGGGGGTTTGAGGGCTTCTGTTGTCCACAGTTTTTTCACTGAACACTCAAGGCAGCCTTTCTGAAAACTTGTACCCCAAAACCTTCTCCCGAGGTTCAGCCATAGAAAGGGTGCAGAGCTCGAAGATGCAACGCTAGATTCTTATTTTGACCTTCAGACAAGGAAAGCGAGTTCAATGGGTGAAATGGGCTCCCAACTTGCTGCGTAGAGCGTGATGCACTTAGTAACCTTATGCCTAGAGCCAAAACGTGAATCCCCTACACTCCACATGCAAAAACTCGAAATCCTGGTGCTGACCCCACTTCTAAAATTTCCATGAACCTCCAAGCCACTGCCACGCTTTGGAGGTACCACACCGGTCTCCTCAGCATCAGCATAGCCCCAGAGGAGGCGCTTCCCAAGGCCTCTCTCTGGGGAACGCTTCAAAAGGGGCTACCTGCAGGTGCAGGGTCCAACAAGTAATTAGAATCTGCTGGGGACAAGGCCTTCGCACCACAAAAACGATCCTTTGAAACATGGTAATCATTTGTGGATGCTTTCTGGGACTCTTGTGTAGGGAGTGTTGGAGGACCCCATGGTACGTCCCTGCACTTGCCATGGTTATCATCAAGCCACACGTGGTGTCATATGTATTATGGGCTTTCGCACGGGTACGTAGGGTTCTGGGCTGGGGTCGTCACAGTGCAGCTTGGTCCCTGTTAAGGACATTCACTCAGCGCAGCATAATAAGAAAGCCACTGTAGGAGGTCGGGGTGGTGATATGATTGCCAGTCGCAATGATCATCAGTCTACTCCAGGGCTACTCCCCACTACCCGCGGAGCTTTCCCAGCCCCGTGGGCCGACGATCTGCTTGGCGCCCAGCGGGAGGGAGCCCTGGAAATCTGCTCCGATATTTGCGAAGAGGATCTGTAGGGGTTTCAGTGCAAAAAAGTGACAATTGGCAGGACTATTCCTCAGACCTTTGCAGATTTGTATTCGAAGAAAAGGTGATTGTTAAATCGCTGAGCCTGCGTATATTTGTGATGCAAGGTACCACAACACCTTTTTTTTGTGATGCAAGGTGCCAAACCGCTGCGCAAAAGTGCTTTTGAGACCAATAAATAGGCAAAGCAAGTTTGTCCGTTTGTGGCTCTAATTCTAGCTTGGCCAAGACAGCCTATGTACCCTGAGCGCAGGACTAGCCTTCCGCAGGGCTGAGCCTGTTTTGAGTGAGGCTTCCTGTAATGAGCGATGGAAGTTTCTGAGTTACCAGAATGAGGAAGACACATCAACACCTTTGTCCTTGTGATTCCTCGTGCAATGCAACCCATAGGGTTGCAGCTCAGTGTCCGGTGCTCACTCTGATCCTCTTCGCGACGCCGCTGTATACACGTACAAGTCCGAAGTTCTGGACAGCGAAACGAGAAATCTGTCGATTCCAGTCATACTACTGATTCTTGCTTCAGGCGAGAAGTTGCTTGTGTGAGCTATACTGCAACATTCCTAGCGTACCATCGGCTTTCTTCCGCCCAGCTTCGAAGTACCTGCACTTCCAGTTGCAGCTACGCGCGTCCGAGGCACTGCCCTGAATTTGTAAGCAGAACATGGGTGGTAGGACACCTGAAGTCAGTAAGAGGAGGACTAGTACTACAACAACAATAAACAACAACGACTACCGTAGCTACTACTATTGCTAGCGGTCATTGTAGCAGCAGGAGGAGGAGGAGCAGGAGGAGGAGTAGGAGCAGGAGTGGTGGTGGTGGTGATCAGGAGGAGGAGTGCTTCTCGTCCCAGATCTAAATATGTGTCCAAAAATGACAAGCAGCCCTCGAGAAACTTTGCTGCCCCACCTTGGAGTAGAAGACACGGAAGAGGGAGCTTCGCTCTTAAGTGACCTTAACCTTGATCCTTGCTTGATGGTTGGGGCTACTTCTGCATGTGCAGGAGAAAGCAAGCATGTTGATTGACTGCGCTCTGCTGTTGAGCCTTAACAGTGCTCAGAGGGAATACTTTGAGATGCGTTCAAAAAATCAAAATCTCATTGTTTGGACTGTCATAGAGGAAGGCGTGGTTCTCCTCTCATCATGCGGGCTGAATCCACATCAAAGGTCGGCATGGATAAGGTTTCAGAGTTGGGAGTTTTGAAAGGAGGTAGCTTGCAAACTCCACAACAGTAAGGCTCATTTTGTTACAGCTTCCACGCGCACGCCCTCGTGTGACATGCTGCGTGCCAGCGACAACACAAAACATCATCGTTTGAAGCTGATGGCTTGGGAATCCCAAGCTACAAGAGCTACGTGCGCCACCGTTGCGAAATCTGATGACCATCTCCTGTGCTAACTGCTGGGAAAGGCTGAAAAAGTGTTTGATGCCGCGGCGCGGCTCTCCGTAAAAGATAGATGTCGACGTCTCCCGAAATGTAAATACCTTTGCAAAAGAGGAGGCCTGATTCCCACACAGAGCCAGGAGTCCCTGCTGCAGACTCTCCAGATCAGCGTAGGCGCCAGGGCTTGCTAAACGTGAAGTGGCCTGGATGTTGCTCAGCCTACTATTGCTTGGTCGTGCAGCTGGGTTATTTCGTGTGCCGGAGGGGCATTTGAACAGCTTTGCAATTTCCGAAGCTTCCTTAACAGCGCGCATGGATCTGCAGTTTAGCTTGGCCGTTTACGGCACGTGTGGGAGCAAGATTTTTAGATTCAAGCTATGCGTATCCAATGTGGCCAGCACAGAAGACAAGTTCCCTGCAGATTCTAGTACAAGACCCTGCAAAACAGGGACGGTCACATAGACTTGGGCTGTGCATGCTGTGGCGCATGAGCCTCGTGCTTCAGCTCGTGTGCATGGCTGTGGCTGCTAGCTCGCAGATCCTTTCCACAACTTGAGCGACAAATAAATGAACATTACTGCTGCATTTGCAAATTCTAGCGGACCCCTTGGGCTAGGGCCTAGAGACATCTCGAAAAAAAAATATATATATATATATATCATATCATGCATATATATATATAAAGATATCATGCATATATAGGTATATATCTTAAGTTTTCTTCCCGTCGTGACCATGAGTGGTCGCATGATCCGCCTTATCAACATTTAGGAATGCGCACCATAAGGGGAGGTGCCCCAATTCTGAATTCCTTGTCGAGCCGCCTTTAGTTGGTAGTTCCACACTGCATAAAGACAAACTTTTACGACACTTTCCATATGTGCAAGCCAAGCTGCACGCCGAGAGCTGGCTCGCCACTTGGCTTGCGTAGGCCTCAACTCCTGACAACTCCGGACGCGATCCTTTGACATCCGCTTTGACCCCCCTAATTTTTGACATCTAGATCCTTTTTGAAATCCAAGGACAATGCGTGCGGCGCAGGTTTCTGGCTACGGCGAGGAGTCCCTTCCCTGGAAGGTTTGTTTAATGGTCTGGTGGTTCGAAGGGTTGTCTGTGTGGGGCTTGCTTATACTTCTTTGATTGGTCTCCTGATATTATAGGCGTCTTCAGGGTGTAGTGGGTTGAGGGATGTTGAGAAATGTTGAGGGCCTTCCGGGTTCACGGATTCAAGTTCGGGTGCGGTAGTGAAGGGCTTGCTGCTTCCCGGTTTGGATATGCGAGTAAGAATGTAGCTTCTTGAACTTGAAGGCTTGGGTTCTGGCCCCGCTGTCAATCCGCAGCGGCATCAAAGTGCTTCCTAGCAAGCAACCCGATACGGGAGACAATGCAAGCAGGAAAACGAGATCCAAGCGTAATTCTGCATTCTGCATCCGCGTATAATGCGCTACTCAACTCCCAACCAATGTAGCTGCACTCAACCCTAAGCCCTAAACCCCACAGCTGAGCGAAGTGCACCTCAGCATTGAATGCCAGGCTGTTGTATCCAACCAAAGTTGTTTAAACAGCCAGCCCGATGGCCACCCGTCTGTCAGGAGCCAACCGCTTTGCTTTCAATGTCCGACTCGGTGCCCAGGCAAGAGGGTACTTCCTGCGGGGCGAAAGGCCTTGATGTGGGTGGGCAAGTGCTGAGGTCACAGTCCAAATTCATGGATGCAGCTGGAGTGTGAATCCTAAGGAGCTTAAGAGACGTCTTCTCATGGTGAATCAATCGCGACTTCCATTTTTATTCCTTATCCTAATCCAAATCAAGGCAGCTTAATGCATTTCTCGCAGCAGTCACGGTGATCTTGTGAGTATCTACCCGTTCTCCCACACGCTGATTGCGCAGTCTTGTTTTTTGGGGACGAAGCAATCGAGTTTCATGACTAACAAGAGACAATGTATGAGACATGGCAGTAATGAACGTAGTAGTTTTCAGAAAGTATCCTCCTGTTGTCGGAGGCCAAAGATGCCTGCCAAAGGCCGTTATCTCCTGGTCCTTGGGCAGGGAGTTCAATAAGTTAGGAGGTAGGGGTGGGGTGAGCTTTTCCAGAAAGGTCGCGCTCTTCATGGTTGTAAGGGAACTCACGGCTTTTGGGGTTTTTGCAGTGCATGTTGAAGAGCTGGGCCTTCTGGCTGTGGGACGCAGAAAGCCTCGGACCCCAGAAGTCGATAATTCTGACCTTCGCACCTCCACCTCGTCTTGGTTCCTTCGCTTCCCCCGCCCACCATTGATTACTGCTGCTCAATGCCACTTTTGCTGCCGCCATGCTCTTCTGCAATGCCACAGGTTCGGGTGCATGCGGTGTCGCTTGCACCGGGCGACTGCAGAGTTATGTCTGGAAAGACGAGTTTGGTTCAAGGCCGTTCTGTTCTAAAACTATCATGGAGATACTTCTAGCATCAGTTAACAATTCAGAAGTTCATGGTTGCAGCACCAGTAGTTATAGCAAAGCCAAGAAGAATAGCAAGTTGGCAGTTCTGGATCTAAGGTTTGTGGCACAGGGCGTACTTCCCAAACACATCTTTCCTTGAGTTTAGAGGTTCATCTGGGATTCAACGCTTGGTACAGTACGACACTTAAAAAGCGGATCTTAGACCACACCCACCCGAAACCATCTTCCTGAAATTTTCCTGAAGGGCCACCTTCCTTCCCCTACATCCCGGGCGGCGACCTCTGCGGTACCGTCGTGGAAGTGAGCAAGGACTCTTGCTATGCCCGTTGCTGTGTGGGTTGTCAGGTCTCTGTGGCTCGGGCAGCGCTGTCATTTTTTTGCGACTGTTTTGAATATAGCAGGACTTAGCCATAGTGACATAGTGTCGAGGGAGAGAGTGAGAAAGAGACCTTTGCCTTGGGATTTTTCTTGAGTCCCTACCCTGGCGAAGAGAGTTTGGACGCGTGCCTGCAAGAAGGGCCCGGTGCTTCCTTTTGTGCTCCTTACTAGCCCAAATTTAATCAAGACTCCACGGGACAAGAGAATTCAGTTGAAGGTTCCAAAATGTGATAGTACCAGTGAGTCTAGTTGTGGAAATCTTAGACAGTCCATGATGTCCATGTTTGACATGCGGTCGTGAAAGGAAGAGACACAGTTCAAAGCGGGAGACTCCGTCGTCGCCATGTTTGATACAGCCGGACTCACTCTGCGCTTTTTCCGACCCAGCCCGACTTGTGTGTTAGGTAGATTTTCCTTGGATTCACGTGGCACTTTATCGGTTGCTGTGTTTTGCTCTTGCATCCATGGTTCCAAGCTTCGGCGCTGGATTCCTTCATGCAACCTCTGGAGCCTTCATTCAAAAATTGCTTCCAGACTTCAAGTTTGTCTAACCTACAGCCCTTTGCTTCTGCCACGCTACGGCACTCCGTGCTGCGACCCTGTCTGTCGGCTCCTGTCCGCTCCAAAGGACCCCGCGGCGGCCTTGCTGAGTACAAGTTGGTGAAGGCCTTGTTCTAGCTTCAAAGTTTCTTCTGGCTAGCTTCGGGTTGAGACCAAGGAATGTTTCTTCGAAGCAGAAGCTTCCCTGTTTTTGAGGTAAGTGGCTTGCAGCCCCAAAGGGACACAAAGGGACCAGGACAAGCTGGATTACTACTACTTGTTGTGTCTTGAGAATGGCTATCTGCTATCGCTCATCAAACTTTCTGCTTGGTCATACAGTGCTGCAACGCCTAGAGCACGACTAGGCCCAAACCTGAACTCTTGACTTGTCTCAATGCTAAAATATTCTTGCTTGGAACCTTCGCTGAGTCTTGAAGTCGTTAGAGTTGGGCGAAGGGGCATTCCGCGCTTTAGGCTGCCAATGCTGCTTTAAAGCCATCGACGATCAGCGCAGAGGTCGGTGTGCAACAGCTTTTCACGCAGGCTTTGTCGGGACTTCTGAACATCATCAGGCGTTGATTTTGTGAGCCCATGGAAGAGTTACACCCTCAGGGGCTCAATTTCGTGAAGCACAAACTATAAATAGTTTGGATGGCGCTGGAGACATGTTTTTGCTGTGTACTCACTTCCTTTCCTTCCAGACTAGGTATAGGGCAGCGATTGTTGATTTAGGGTCTGCCAGTCTACAGGGACGCGGTGTTGCAACAAGCTGGATTGAGACCATAGGTAAAATCTTACGCTACATGATGCAACATCATTGTAGACAGGATGCAGCAGCGCTGCCATCGAGCGCCCTCACGGCCATGCTGTTGTGTGAGAGGCCGGGTTGGGGTGTTCAGCAGGATCCGCTGCCAGGCCTTCCAAGATTGAAGTCTGATACAACCACCTCCCAGGCATGTCTGCAAGGGGGACAGAGTGTTGGTCCTTGGTGGCGGTGGGGGCGTGGGCTGCCACCTCGTGCAGTTGTTGCAACTCGGAACATTTGGGTCCAAGAATTGGGTCTCAAATCAAGTCTACAGGGTACTCATGAGGGTGTACGCTGAAATTAATGGGCTTCCGATGTGGAGTACTTCAACCTTCCAGGCACGGGCATGGGTATGCCATTATGGGTGTGAAGGAGGCTCATAAGGTATTTACTAACTATGAACAACCCGAAAAACATGTTTGGAGTTCGGCATATGACGTTCCTCGCTGGCCTTTGTTTCAGGAGCTCGGCTTTAGCTGCGCTGGTTGGAGGTAGGTTCTCGGGTTGAGTTTGTCATTGCAAGGAAGCTTCATGGAGCGAGCTTCGTGGCCGCCACTTCAACGCAGAAGGACCCTGGGCTGGCTGTGCTTGCAGCTTCAAGCTTTGAAGTTCAGCGGTTGCGCGCAATGTCGCTCTCGGAGGCTTCTCGTGACAAAGAAACCCAGGGGTGCCAGCTGCAAAGCCTGCCGGGCCTGAAGATTAACTAGGTCGCTGTAGACGAGGCAATAGCCTCCGAACGGGCCTGATTGGAGGCTCATACGCGGTCAGCCTAACGCACTACTTGCTTCTTGGATGTGAGCTTTCATGGCACTTGAGTTCAGAGAGAAGCGTGCATTAAGTTCTGACGAAACCCTGACCTGGATCGAAACCGCTTCCAACAAACGAGCCAATCTTTCCTTCAGGATAAGCACGGGGAGAATATGTTCTACGCGCCGCTACTCTAGCATGACCTACAGGCCTTTGCGCCACTAGCTCTTTCGCGATAGCAGGAGTTGCTGATTGGGCTGGGTGTGGACCGGGTGATCGACCGCACGGAGGAGCCCTTCCATCTTTACCATGGGTACTTGCCAAAGTTAGGCTTTTCCTTTTGAAAAAGAAGCTGCCCACATGCGGTTGGCAGATGCCCACATGAGTCTCTTTCGCAGGGCTTGGGAGGCGCACGGCTTTGTTTCCCTGAACAAATTTTTGCAGACATTTCGCAGGTCGCAGGTGTTGAGGAATTATCATGACGTACTTGGTCTCTGATACAGGGAAGGGGTTGGTTGGTGATCTTGTGACAAGGAGAATTGGTGGGAGGTCCCGGAGTTCAAAGAAGCTCCATTTGACTTGGTTGTTCCTTGGCTGCACTTGGTTTGCATTCTCATGGGATTTAGGGGCTTCAGCTTGGGCTCCAGGTAAACAAAGTGCAACGGACACTTGAGTTGTATTGCACAAGTCAGGTCGAATCTTTCGGTTGGGGAATCGAAAAGAAAATGGAAACTACTACAGGGTTTATAGGGGTTATATAGGGGTTGGGGTTTAGGGTTTTGCAGCTTCTGCTGCCAATCCAAGTTGTGGGTTATTTTGCAATAGTTTGCAAGCACAAAAACCAATTGAAAGTTGTTGTGTTGAAATCTACAAGCCCCTTGATCCTCATTTCAGGTAGACCTCTTTGGGACGCGCGAGCCTTGGGAGCGTGCCGTGAGCTCTGGTGTGGTTACTCTGCCCGATTTCAAGGGGATTTTCAGTTTGAGGTGTATAAGAGGTTACGGCTTTGGGTATGCTATTGTGCCCTGGGTTGCCTTCATCTTCTTTTTTGCCAGAGCTGGCCATCAGCCTGCCAGTTCCTTTGACTGTTTTTTTGGGTTGGGATGCCGGGCAAGAAATGCAGTTGTTCAACAACATGGGCGCCCGGGCCCCAAGCTCTGCCCTCGTTAAGGTGAAGTCCGGGCGACTGGGTGGCCGCTACGTGACAACAGTGGGCGACACACCGCACCGTGGTTTAAGCTGACAGCAGCACTTGGGGAGAGGTCCATGTCGGGAACATGTGAAGGAATCAGCATCAGGCTTTCGGGGAATTTAGTAGGACACCCATTTTTGGTGCCTGTGCCGACTTCTAGGAAACCGTGGGCTGCAGCTGTTGTTCAAGGGTTGCAGTTTCCTCTCGAGATCAGAAGTTTGGCTTTCTTGGATGCTCGGAACTATGTACGGAAGCCCATGATGTCTTGGTCTTGGCTTGTTCGGACCTGTTAAGCCGAGTACCCTTTCACGCTACAATCCATCAATATTTGAAATTCACCTAGGACTCAAGCCGGAGTGCTTTACATATTCTTGCCCACGAGGACCTCAGTCTACTGCCAAGACACCAAAGAGTCCGTGATCACAGACAAGCCCACAATCGTGCAACCAGATTTTTTGTCAGGTACATGGTCTTCCGCCATTGGTGGCACATCTTCAAACTCATGTGCCTTGAGCTTCAATACAGGATTGGGAGGGTGTGTGGAGGCAAAATGCATCAAAATGGTATTCTGCTCCTTGAAGCCAATACCTCGAACTTGAAGACCTCTTTCACGAGGGCCTTGTCTGGCCAGCTGCTTGTGTCAAATCTCGATACTCACGTGGCACCCTAGAGGTTAGGGTTCAGGCATTTCAGTCCAAAGGAACGAATTTGGGTATGCTCCTATGAGAAGAACAACCACTGCTTGCGTGGCTCCTGTATGAGTCGATCTGCTTGCGGTTGTCCCGTTGAATTCAAGGTCTTCACACGCCTCCAACCTTGCCTTCCAAGTGTTTGCAAGCTCAAAGCTTGAAACCACAGCAGGAAGAACCACGAAGCCTTGAATTCCGTGCCGCATCGCATCCAAGAGGCAAACCGCCGAACACATTGGGGACCTAGGACCATACACAGCCACCCAAGTCCATGGCACTGGCCTGAGGTATGACATGACCGCTCGTGGCCTCTGGACGCGACTCTTCCGCTCAAACCCACGCGGCCAGGCTTCATAATTCTGCCGTACTATTATCCTTTCTCCTGCGCTTCTATCATGTTGGGTGATGCGGTGCGCATACTTTTTTGGCATCTGCAACAAGATCCAACCCTTGTCGTGGCAGAGTCCAAAATTCTGGGAGGCAAAGGTGATAACGGGTTATGGAAGAGTCGGGCCGCAGACCACAGAAATTGACTCCTGATGCTTGACAGTTGGGGTTCATCCTTGAATTTGCACCAAGGTTCGAAGCGTGGGCCCAGAACCCTAGGAGCTTCATCTGATATGAAACATAATTTTGATTATGGTGTATGACGGGTACTTGACGAGTGTTGGCTACTTGATGGGGTATCTACTCGGTGTGCTTGAGGCAGCAGTTTGCATGCAGCAGCACGTTCTTCCAGGCTTATAAGGGCCTTGTACAGAACATCAGAGGGTGTGCCGCAAATCCATTGGCAGTTTCAACAGCTACTGCGCGGGACTCAGGCTGGATCTACCACTTGGGCCTTGTGCCTCGGCCGAGGTTTGGTGTTTCAACGGATTCGGGGCATTTCAAAATCTTGTCCCTGCTAGGGTAGTCACATAATTAGGATCCTTTTATGGATGGGGCTCTCTGCTTTTGTTGACATGGCCATTTCGCAGTTTACCAGAAGTGGGTCCCAAAGGTAGATGACCATGCAGCAAACCCTCCATCCTAAAACCCACGGGAGCGTGGCCCTTACTTTGGGAAGCTTCCATCCATATTAAGTATGCGCTACGTAGGCTTTAAACCTTCGTCAACTGCCCTACACTCCTACACCTCACCCGAACTCCAATCACCCCGTCTCTATACCTGCCCATCCGTCTATCTATGCATCTACCTATGCACGTGTATAGAAAAGATATCACAGGAAAATATGTATAATCTGAGCCCAGGAGCCGCAGGACCTGGCGCGGCTCCTGCGCCGGGCCGAGACCGGCGAGCTGCGAGCAGTGCCCTGGCAGAGGGCTTCATCGAAGGGTTTGGATATTGGGTTAGGCTCGTTTTGTGACTTTCTCAGCCTTTTTCGGGACCGGGCGACGTTTGGTGGCCGGGAAAGGGTCGCATGGAAGGTTCGCAGCTGTTCACCGAAGTTCACAATTTTGACTGTTGCCCCTGTAACTGTTGATGTTTGGCCCTCACATTGTTGTTGCGTGTTGAAAGTGTCAACAGTAGCCGGGATCGGCATCCTTGCGTTGCCATCCACGCTAAGGCTACTGTTGCGGTTCTGAAAAGTCAGAGCGTCGTCCCGTATTCAAAGTATCACGAGCTCTGGGGATGGGATGTGTCAGGTTCGCGAACTTTGGTGATTCTTTGACCCTCGTATCTTTGTTGCATCTGAATCCTTTGACAATAGTGTGAGGACCGAAGTGACTTCGCCAACTTCATGCTCAAGCTTGATCGATGCCACTAGGCCTCCTAGCTTCTGAGCTTTTAGGTCTAGCCGGGGAGGCCGTTGGTTCCAATCTCTGGGGGCTTCGCTGTCCGGTCCATTGTACCCAACTTGATCTACCCTTGCTTCTGTTGGTGTTCCTTTTGGGAGGCCTAGGTGGACTTGGGGTGTGCCTCCTTTTAGGGTTTAGACCCTACCCTCTAGTGGTTCCCTTAGAGACCCGTGCTCCTGCCACCCCAGGCGGGCCCGTGTTTCCCGCCTCGTCGGCGGCAAGGAGACGCTTGCAAGGCTACGCATGAGCCAGGAGCGCCTGCACTTCTCAGTCGGATCCTTTCGAGTGACTGTCTCTCGCAGGCCCAGGTCCCAGAGTGAGGGGGAGGTAGGCCAGCCCTACTTTGAACTTGTGGGCGAGACCCCTTCTCCAGACCCCTTGCGGGCCTCCGGGCCAGAAGGCAGCCTGCCGGCCGCCTCTCAGCAGCCCTTCCTGCCTCCTTCCCGTGGCCCTGTGTCTCGGGCAAGCCCGGCCTCGCCTGTCGCGGCTCGCAGCCTCTCCTCAGCACATTCCGACCCCTTGCCGGCCTCCGGGCCTCGTGTGTCCCGAAGGGGCGCTTTTGCACCTGCAAGGCCTTCTCACCAGCAGACTTCGCCTGAGCCGTCTTCCTCACCTTCGCGTGTGCCAGAGTATCCCTTGCGTGCTCCTGGGCTGTCGTCCCGGGTCCTGGCGAGTTTCCCGCCATTGACCCCTGCACTTGCCGCTACCTGCCGCAACCTGCGTGGAGGCCACCTCACCCACCAGCAAAGGGCTGAGAGAGCCTGGCTTGCTGGCTGCTGGGCAAAGGCTGTCAAGGACGGCCTCGTAAGGTACCCCGACAAATCTGGGGACACGGGCCTGAGCAACAGGTACTACGCCGTCATTCAGGGCTCGGGTGTGGACTCTCCTGCTGTTTACCGCACCTACGTTGAATACTCTCGCGTTGTGCACTTCAGGGCCTCCGGCCTCTCGATCTCTCACGCCTTCCCGTCAGAAATGGCCGCCGAAGCAAACGAGGGCCTTGGACCCTCGACAGCCGTTCTTGTGAAGTCTGTCTCTCTGGACGAGGAGGGGGAGTGGGGGGCAGCCCCTGGTTCCCCGGAAGTGCCGGCTCTCGTGATAGACTTGCCGGCTGCCTTCGCGTCAGCCCTCTCTCCTTTAAACTTTTCAGATTTCGGGGGTCTGCCTTTTGTCGAAGAGGATTTCTCCTTGTTCCCCCTTGCTGCCGATGTACTTCTTCAAGCCAGGGACTGGGTAGCCATAGGTTTAGGGGAAAGCCGAAGTGGTTACCAGACGGGGGTCTCCGAGCCTCCCCCTGTCGGAAAGGCCAAGGCAGCAGCAAAGAAGGCGGCCCAAACAGGCAAACCATTGCAGGCATCGCCGCGCAGCAGACAGCCTTAGCAGAACTGGTTGCGGCGCTTACGTCTCAGGTCGAGGTCCTTGTGAAAGCTCAGCCGGCCGCTCCTTCAGTCACGGCACCTCCTCCTGTGAGCTCCTTTCAGCCTCCGCCTGCCAGGCCTCAAACCCTTGCCCTTCCCTAGCCGAAGTTGCCTTGGGTCCAAAGTTAGGTCAGAGGGAGGGAGTTAGCTTTAGGGATAGGCCCTCCGCCTCTGACAAGACCCCTTGCAAGAAGCCAGGCAGAAGAGCCACTGCAACAGACCATTTTAGATGGCGAGCTGCCAGGCGCGTCTTTTGCCGAGACCGAAGGGCAGAGTCTAGCGCAGGCTGCTGATTCAGAGCAAGGCGCTCTCGGCCTTGGTGAACCAGATCTCCTCGGGATCGAGCGATCCCCTTGCTGCCCTGGCCGGCTCCTCGACAGGAACCTCTCTTTCGACAAAGGGCTTCCAAGGACGGGCCAGACTGCAGGCGGAGCTGTCACAGGAGACAGGCTCCTTTTTCAAAGCAGTTTACGGGGCAGCCGCCCGAAGGATGCACCGTCTCTTGTGAACCCTCTTCCTGCCCAGGCGGCCCAGGCGGGCCTGACCATGGCTCGCTACCTGGAACGCTATGGAGGGACCGAAAAGTGCCGCGACTTGGGGCTGCTCCAATGGCAGGTCTTCAGGGCCATGGACCAGTTTGCTTCAGGAAGCCCGGACGGGGTCCATGCTGGCCGTCATGTTGGAACAAAGTGCCTTGGACCAGGAAAATGGACCTGGGTTTTATTCTCAGCCTTCAGCAGAACCCGCCTGCGGCCATATTCCAGAACCATGCTTCGATGCCCACCGCTGCCCTTCGTCCGTTTGCCCCCCCTCGCGGACCAGAGGTGGGTGGCCGTTGCCTTGGCTTACGTCAAGGAAATGGATACATTGGCGACAAAGCGCAAAGCGCCTCGCGCTGACCGCTCCAAAGCAGAAGGCGACCCCGCCCAATGCAAAGGCCACCGAGTCCACCAAGGAGGGGGAAGGCGTGACAAGAAAGCAGCTCCGCGCAAAGAAGTGGGCCGAGCAGCGGTCTGAACCCGGGTCCTTAGGTTTAGGGGATACGTGTAGTAGGTGCCCTTCTTTCCCCCGTGGCGCCGAGGCAAGCACAATTACTTTCTGGTCCTGGGCTGCAAGCCTTCCGCGCCTGCTTTTGGCCACCAGGACTGCCTTTGCACGTTTTCTTTCAAGTACTTTCAAGATCTGCCTGGGGTCCGAGAAGGCCCCGCCTACCGCTCTTTTCCCTTTGCCTGTTCCAAAGCCTGGCTGCTTTGACGCTGGCAACCCGAAGCTCTCCTCCAAGAGCTCTGCTCGCAAAGGCCTGCGTGATGTCCTCCTGGCGAGGCTTCTTCATATCACTGTTATGGCCTTCAACTTTCTGCATTCTGATGGGAAGCCTGTTCCCTTGGAGAGCCTTCGGAGGCAGCCCTCCCAAGTGCAGCTGGAAATGACCGGCCGGCCTCGAGGCCCTGCTTTGAGCGAGTAGCAGGTGCTCCGAGGATCTTCCTCTGTGCGCCGGCAGACGTGGCGTGCATTTGGTTGCCCGCCTCTCTGAGCTCCGCGACTTCTTGGGCCGCGCGGGCTTTGTTCCCTCTGCTTACCCTGGGGATGCTAGCTTCTCTGAGCTTGTTCCAAGGTGCGCTTCTGGACCTGAGGCGCTCAATCCTTACCGTGACGTGGACCCCAACCGGCTTTTGATTTCCAGTCAAGGCCAATGGGACATCTCCGAGCTTCTCGGCCCGGACCTCCTGATGCCCTTTCTTGAGCCTAAGGTTATGAGTGAGGTCTATTCCTTCCAATAGCCTGCCTTTTCCTGACGCCTGTGCCGACACCCGAACGCACCCTCAAGCTCCTGAAGCTTTGGGCTTCGACTTCACGCCGGCCCCTTTCTGCCCAAGGAGCTTTGTAAGGTTTTTGCAGCCTTCAAGGGTCCCTCTGCCGATAGAATGATAGGGGATAAGGGATCGGGTTGTCGGGCCTTCCCGTGCCTTGCCGCCTGGGCAGCAACTTACTGAGCTCACCGTACGCCGAGGCTGCGAGCTTCTGGTTGGGGCCTCCACTGACAGATCTGATTTCTACCGCCAGATAATGGTCAGCGACTCCAGGTCCCTCACAAACTGTGTTGGCCCTCCTCTTCCTTTTGGTTGTCTTGCTGGCACCCATGCGCATGCCCGGCTGATCGAAAGCCAAAAGCTCCTTGTAAGCAAACCGCGGGAGGTCACAGGTGACAGGCTAGGTCTTCCCTTGAAGTGCAAGCTTGGCCCGCCGGAGCTGGTGTACGGATCGTTCGGATCCCTGTACCAGACAAATCATTGTGGGTAGAAGTGGCGACCCAAGCACATATCCAGCTGCTTCGCGATCATAATCGCCTCGCCCCTTCCGAACACCTGCAAGCAAAGACCCTTCTCTCCGAATCCGGCCCTTGGGAAGGACTGATAATAGACGATTTTTTCTCGGTGTCGCGTGAAAAGCTGCCGGCCGATGCCACCTGCTGGGACGCCCTTGACTCTCTGTCCACCCGCGCCGTGCTCTGCGCAAAGGGGGTCTACAAGAAGTTTGGGCTAAAAGGCAGCGATCACAAAGATGTTCTGGGGAGTGTGAGCTTTAAGGCTGCCGGGGCCTTTGTCGATTCTTCATTTCCGACTGTTGCTGACGGCCTCTGTTTGGTCAGCGCCCCGGCTGAGAAACGCCTCTCCCTTGCATACATCTCTCTGCAGGCTGCGCAGCTACCAGCCATCACGCCTGAGTTCTCCTCTGCCCTTGCTGGATGTTGGGTGACCCTCCTGTATAGAAGGTGCCTTATGTCCTGCCTGGACACCTTTTTCCGTCTGGGACCCGCCGCGACTTGGATTTTCCCGCCAATGAAGCTGTTCCTCTCCCCAGGAAGGCCGCCGGACTCTCCCCGGTGATGTGCTCCGACGTGTCCTCACCTTTTGACCCAAAGGTTTACTGCTCTGATGCATCGACCGCTAAAGGGGCTTTCTGCTCTGCTGAGGTCGGAGGGGCCGACAAAAAGGGGTTCTACTCGAGGCTTGTGGACCACGGCCCTCTCGAGCCTGACCATGATCCAGAGAGTCTTCCCAAGCCCCCCTCTCCTTTCGAAGCAAAGCC